CACGGATGAAGCCTACAGGCTAGATAAAACACACAGAATAACCCGAGTCAGAGTTCTACAGTGACTTTATTTTCCTTCAAAAACTGACATTAAAATGCAACAGAACTTCAAGCAAATGCCACATGCACTTACAGACTGAGGGTAGCATACATCCACTATTGCATACCGATTTTCCTGCAATGGATATTCAATAAGTTTTCATTATAAAACTATAAGAAATATAACATAGCAACAAATTTCAGGTAATGAAGGGTCTGGGAATGATTAATGCCTGAAATCCGCATTTTAAAGATATAAGATTCTGACAAATATTCATAATTAGCATGACTCCATAACAAATTATTGGTGGTGCTTAGCTTGGGGTGGTACCGCACTGGTCAAGTGCTCAAAGTGCAGAGGGGGCATAATTTTTGCAACAGATCATAGCTACAGATATCAAACCAAACTCCATAACTTTAACCAAATCAAATCATCACTATCTGTACGCTAAGCAAACTATATCATTTGATATGGGATTAAACATTGTGGAGTAAGCATTATTTGTGGTACTTTAGAATTCGACCCGGTCACTTTTTGTTTCTTTCCAAGTAAAATGTTCCAACTTCACACTATTTTAATCTTGTTTATGCACATATAGCAATTATTGAACAAGACCACAAATTACCTGCTCAAAGCCAAACACAAGGTTTGCCCATTCTATATGTCGGGTAATTAATAAAGTTGCTCTAGCAAGAAGAGGGGCAACTTGAGCCTGCAAAATTCACAAAAGCATTATAAACATTAAACATATAAAAAACCAGGTATTTAAACGTAAATGCTCCAATTCAAAAAAGCAAGTTCAAACACAACACATAGTCGTGCAATCATGATGCTATCCAAAAGTGGGAGTACAATACTATACAATAAGCTAATACACCATAGGCTATCACAAATAACACCCTCCAAGTACAAATAAACAGCTTACGATATCTTGTTCAAAAGAAAGACAAGTGCATGAGATATAACCATGAAATCAGACAACCATTTAACTACCAGGCACAGCCTAAATGATTTCAAAAAGTTATTATTCCATGATCTTTGGCCATTTATAGGCTATAAGTTTCATAACTGGGTATGCAAATGAAGGGATGAATATGAAACAATGATGTATGAATGATCCCAAGCTCTGATCCAGGAATAGCTTAACTGATACGCTACAAAGTCCAACCCTTCATAGATGCAGATACCTTCTTCATATGACCCTCTATAATCAACAAAACAAGGCAAACCTAGCTTTGACTTGTTAGCCTGGAGATATACAACAATTTGTTCAGCGAGGTAATGAATCCACCATTTTATGTAAATGCAAGATGCAATAGCTCATAATAAGCACAAAAGAACACACCACTCAATAGCTAACCCAATCAAAAGGGGACAGAAAATATTTTTACCTCCTCAGGAGAAGTAGGTGCCAAATATCCGGTAGTAGATTGACTAACCGGGGGCTGCTCGAATACATGTGTTCCTGAACCATGATATTTCCTATTATTACTTATCCTTTTATAAGCCATTTTCCTTCTCTCCATTGCCTTCCCCAATTCCTTGTCTAATACCCAAAGCCGAGCAAGGAAATCTCGGTTCAAATCTGGCTCCTTCCGGGCACTATGCTTAAACAGACGGGATTCCAGCATTGCTACAGGATGTTCGGATAATTGGGGTTTTCCATCAAAATTAAACCCTCCCCCATTTAATTGAAATAACCCAAGAATTGAACTTTTAGTACCCTTTACAATGCCAGTTGTGCTAATACCCCCATTATTCTTAACAATTTGCTTCAAATTCTTACTCCAACTCATTTTACATAAATTTGACAAATAATTTCCTGCAATTGTAAACAAAATGAACTTAAATTGAAGAGCTGGGATTACAAAATTTGAAGTCAATCTAAAAACCCAATATCAATTATCACATATATACATGATTTCCCAAGCTTCTTTGATTATCAAGAATCCTTCTATCAATTTCTTGAGCAATTATTGGAAATACAAGAGAAATTTTTGATGTATAAACATTATACTCCATAGTAAATGAAAAATTAAAAACGAACCTTTATAAAAAGTAAAGCGTATAACTGATTTTCTCTGTCTCTTGAGGTGATGATCCTTGTAGTGGAACTTGGGTGAGAGATTTCAGAGCAGCGGAAGAAATTAGAAACCTCGAGAACTCATTGCCCAATATGGGCTGTTTTTTTTATTATTAGTAATTAAATTTTAATATGCTTCCAAAAAAAAAAAAAAAAAAAAATTAAATACTCCAAGATGTAATATCGAAGCTACTTTCAAGAGTAGTGGCTAGCCGGCTCATAAACACCTAACCACCTCAAGGTTATAAAGATGAAGGCACGATTACGGGGAAATTCAACTTTTTTTTTCTTTTTTTTACGAGAAAGATAAAATATCATTAATTGAAAGTCATACGACATCTAAAGTAAAAATCCTCTTTAAAGAAACTATGATGATGAAAAACTAGATCTGACGATGAAGCAAAATCCCCGATTGTTCGCTGAATTATGCAGCCTTCCGTGAGGGAGTCCATCTTCTTGACATAATTTTGGGAAGAAAATTCATTACTTGACCATGTCGATCGCATCCTCAATTCCAACGCCAATTGCAAAATTGTACGAATAACAACCCATGAATCCAATCTTTCAGATAAAACCCTAAAAATAAATTTCAATCTTCCATAAGAGAAGAGAAGAAAGACAAACACCAAACTTTCACAAAAGGAGAGAACAAATCCAAAAATTGGGAAGAAAATTCTCATAAAGAGAGAGTAAGGAGGATTACTAATGACTGAAAAACAAAAAACAGAGGAAATAAAGAAAGAAATGGGGCTTACCATCATCAAAGAGATGATGATGGTAGCCCCTAGCGGCTGCCAAAGATTTTAGGGTTCTTTTTTAAGAGGGAGAGAGGAAGAGGCGAGTGAAAGTTTTTAGGTAGGCTTTTTTTATTACCTTAATCAACCACTTTTTTTTATGAAAATGAACCATATAGACACACGGTTGTTGATTTGTTTACAAATATGTTATGCTGACTACATGAAATTGTTAATTTATTTACATTTTTGCCATTGTTTATCAAAAATATAATCCGTGGCTTCCTCAATTCTATATCAAAAACTAATTGAATATGTAGGATGTTAATTTAAAACTTGTAATATATCAGTAACTTAGTTTGAGGTGAAATGAGGTAATAAGTGATATAAGTTTTCAAGCTTTAGAATAACAATTCAATTTACTACGTCTATTTCAAATTATTTGCAATGATTTGACATAAAGTTTTGAGTAAAAAATGTCTAATCGTTGCAAATAATTTGAAACGAAGGTAGTAATTAGATTTTTAAATACATTTTTATTTTCTTGTGCTAGATACTAAAATATGTTGATGGTTAACTAAGATAAGGGATTATGATTTAGGACACCCAACCTCAAATAAGTTTATGACATTATAAACCTAAAATATAAAAGCCTAAGTAATAATGAAAAGTTAATTTATATTATGAGGGAATATGAGAGCCTTTTTTTAGCATTGGGATTTGGGAGTAAGCAACTAAAGTCTGTTATGCACAGTAAATTGTGGTGCAAGTTGTGCAACTAAGTTAATAGCATCTATAGCCGTGTAGGTGCACTATTTATAAACCATAGATGTATTAATTGTTGTGATCACTCAAACTTATTGTATCAAAATTGTAAATGGTACACTATTTGGCAATTGTAAAATAAGACATGAAGATAAACGATGTAATCTCTTTTTTGGCCTAAAACAACCAGATTATGGGCTCTAGATACTACTGCCCTAAGAACATGATTACAAATAACATAACATAGATTATGTTATTAATGATATGAATAATGATGTCAGTGTTGATGTTCAGACATATAAAATTCATAACTCGTGTTACATACTTACACTTAGGTCTTGTTTAGTTCAACTTATTTCAAAAAAATTAAGCACAGATCATATCAGGAAAAATAAATTCAGATCAAATCATCGTTTTTTGTACAAATTTTTATCACTAAATATCTTTAATTTCGTAATTAAAAAAAAATTATGAAAATTACATATTATAAAATACATATTATTACGAATCTAACAAGATCCCACTTGATATATTTTTTTCTTATAGATTATCGTAAAGTTAAACTCAAAGTTTGGTCAAATCAGAAAATCAGATGAGATCAGATCAGATAAACAAAAATAAAGTGAACTAAACAAGGTCTTATTCAAACAATGGCATTTTAGAGTTGTGTTTAAAATTTTCAATTTAATACTTTAATCTCCACACACGCGTGCGCAAACACACACACACACACAAAAAAAAAAAAAAAAAAAAAAAAAAAAAAAAAAAAAAAACTTAATCTTTAGTTGTTTGGCAAATTGGAAATTTCACTCTTTCTTCACTAGAAAATTCAAGTGCGTTTGGTTCGCAAACTGGTATGAGATGGAATCAAGAATGAAACCATAATGATATGGGTTTGGAACTTGATTCTTAATACCATATGTTTGGTATGATTATGGAATGCAGTTTTATTTTTAATTTTTTTTTATGATACCTAAAAGTATGTCAATGAGTCAAACTCACCTTCCCCCCAAGTTTCTAAACCCCATAGTTTGGGGGTTTGAGATATGAGTTTGTAACTCTTAGGGGTTGTTTGGTTGGATTATTTAGAATGGGTTGGAATGGAGTTAGAATTCATTCCATCTAGTTTTGTGTTTGGTTGAAATTTTTAGTAATATAATCTCATACCCAAGAGGTTCTAACTCCCTCACATACTCACCCCTCCCCCTAACATTCACAATTCATTCTATTAATGAAGAGTACAATCTATTCCAACATTAAAAAAACAACTTTAGGCTAGTATGGGTTTCAAAATTCAATCCAATATTAAAATTCGTACTTTTTTAATGTGAGATTCCATTTCAATTCATTTCAATATAATTAACCAAACACCCCCTTAAAATATTCTAAATCCATAATTTATACCTTAAGTATGTTAACCAAACACCGGCGCTTGTAAACAAAACATTTTAAATTTAGTACAGAACCCAAGAAATCCTACGAAAAGAAAGTCTTGCGTCCTCAAGATTTTGGTAATGAAATCTTATCTTTTTTTGTTTTCATTTGATTAGTAGCTTGCTAAATTTCTTGCGAATTGTGATATACCCTCTTTTTTGGGGGAGATTCTGTTTAAATTTTAGTGCTTCTTCCTGTATTTTCCGTTCTATCAAGTTGGGGTTTTTGGAATTTTTGCTGTCCAGAATTCAGAGGATGATGAATATGATTTTTTTTATTTTTTTGGGTAAATTAAAATATTGAAAATTTGATGTGAGAATCTGGGTTTAATAATATAGTTCAATTGTTACTAGCCTGCTTGGTATGGTTGTGATTCAATATATATGTTGAATATTAAGGATCTAAAGTTTTGTTCATATGAATATATGATAGAATCATAGCATGCTCAAATTTGATTAAAAATTGACAAATGATAAGTGCTTAAAGCTGCCTTCTTTAGTTTGATTGAGTCTTGGGATGGTTATATTTTTAGTTGAGCCGCTTATAAGGTGATTCGATATTGATCAAACCATGAAAACTCGAATTTGACTGGAAATTAAAAATTGACCATTGGGATAGTTGTTGGCAGTTAATCTAGAAAGCAATTCATGACACCATTGTCTGTTTCATATCTGATTTTCACATACACGGGCTTTTGATTGCTTTTCAATGCCCTAGACGCGTTATTGTGTCTGTGCCACTTTGTAGGCGCCTTATTGTGTCTTGCAATTGTCATCGTAAAGTATATAGATAATAGAACATCATCTCACGTTGTCCATGGTGTTTCCTGACAGGAGTGAGGGAAATCTTCTTCAGGTTAACCAATATCACAGATATAAGTATCAAAATTCCAAAAGCACCCATGAATCTGTAATTTAAGTAAACTTCCTTAAGAAACACAGCCTTTTGCCAACATCTTATTTGAGCCAGTTTCAAGGGATGAACTCATGTTGGCTTTCTTCAGGAATGAAGTATGTATTCCAATCAAGTTCGTTTCGACAAGCTAATGCCTTAGTGCACATCTGTGTGCCAGGCTGCACTATTACTTCTATAGTTAAATTGAACAGGCACCCCAAATTTTACTGTAGAGCTGCTGCTTCTGTGAACTACAACTCTTGTCTAGGTGTGTGGATGATTCTATGATTACTACTCGTATTGTACCTCCCTCCCCCCAACCACCAGGTCCACCACCTAACTTCAAGCATCTTAACTACTTTCACTGTGTTCTGATTATGTTGTATTAGGAAAGAGGATGGATATAGAATTTAGGTGAAAGGCAAATGAAGAAGAAAATGTTGATATACTACATACGGATTAGTTTGTTATTGTGTTATTTTGAGACCCATTTATGGGGTGGAATCTGCTCTTCTATTAGGACTGTCTTTCTCCTCGTCAATCTAATTTGAGCTGGTCAAATACTGAAGAAATGTTTTAGCAACTGTTTCTCCCTTTTTATTGTAAGCATGTGCATTTTCACATAATTTTTGTTACATGATTGTTAATTCAAACTGTCGGTTCCATGACTTCCATCCCTTTTTGCTTATTTTAATCCCTGATACATGCATTTGATGCAACCGCATTGCAAAGTTTGAATACAAGTTCTAGTGAAGTTACTGGAAGTGTGACTTTATTTTGTCTATGAGTCTTTATGTTGAATCCCATTGGAGTCACATGGCCTCTCAACTCACCAGAAGTTTGAATGGCTAAAGTCCCTCTATTCTGCTATACCTGCTTCCTTATCCCTGACTTTAGTAAGTGATTGCAGGGGCACAGTGCGCTTCAAAATCCTTCTCAGAAATGGCACCTATAGTTCCAGGTGGTTGTCTACATCAATGTATATGTTTTCCTCATTCGATATAAGTTTTGCTTACACATCTATTAAAAACACAGGAGCGGTTATTGTGATTATGGGTGTCAGTGGTGCTGGAAAAACGTAAGTCTTAAAAAGTTTAAGTAGGATATCTTGTGATATGTGCATGTCCTCATTCTGTTGAACGGTTCTGGGGGATTACAATCATTTTCTGAACAGTTGAGATGTTCGCCATTACGCTTTATTGTTTTCACATCTTTCCAAAGAAAGGATTGTTGGCTGGATCCACGTATTTTCATTGAATCATATTCTCTGAGGAAAAAAAGATCGAAAATGGTTGTAATGTCTGGATGGAATTTTATGATAGAGTTTTAAGAAAACCTTGCATATTGAAGAACTACAAGAGATAGACATGAGACACAACCCATTAGTTGGATTCAGCTGCAATTCTTTGATGAGAGTAGTGATTTTTATGCTGGACATAATCCACTAATGCCTTGCTAATATTTGAAATTGCAAAGATGATTGTACTGTTATATATATTACTGTATCAAACCACTCGTGTCACATAGATGTTGTACTGTTGGTAAAATCTTGAACATGCATGCACCTATGGGCTGCTATGGCATCATATCTTATTGGATGTCCTAATGTTTATACATCATTTGAAATTTGCTGATGACTATTTGCCTCTACTGATGTCTCGTGTTTTTAATTTGTTAGAACTATAGGTAATCATCTAGCTGAAGCTGCAAATTGTGCTTTTCTTGATGCAGATGACTTCCACCCAGATTCTAACAAAGGTAGCTACACTATGTAAACCCAGAGCTTTACTGTAATATATTTCCAGTTTATAAGCTAATCTATTGATTAGTGGAGATAAATCATCCAGATTTTCTTATGCATCCCCATTCATAAATAGAAAAGATGAGAAAAGGAATTCCACTCTCAGAGGAAGATCGGATGCCTTGGCTTCAAATATTACGCAATGCATTGAAAGAGCGCATAACAAATGGGGAAATTACTGTTCTTGCTTGTTCAGCTCTGCAGAAGAATTACAGAGAAATTCTTAGGTCATCAGACCCAAATCATATTCCGGGGAGACAGGGTAGCCCGGTGAAGTTTGTTCTTCTTAATGTTCCTGTTGAAGTACTTGCTGACCGGCTGAATAAAAGACTGACAAACGGGGAACATTTTATGCCACCTTCATTGTTGCAGTCTCAGTTAGAGTTACTTGAGATTGATGCCTCTGAAGAAATACTTCAAGTTGATGCTACACAGAATCCCACAATTATTGTGGAAACTATAAGACATTCGCTTGTCCAGAGGAAGATAATTGAAAGCTACTGACAGGACTGCTATATATATACACTTACATTTCTGATTTGCCCGATTCTAAATGGCTCTAATTCTTTTCAGCTTGATTCTTAAATAAGTAGATATGGAGAAAGTTGTGTTGTAATTCAACTGGTTCAACAACCATGAATGTATATGTTGTTGATGTTCCCTTGTAGAAACTTAAAAGGTGGGTGTAATGGATAATTCAACTGATGAAATCAAGATTTAATAATCTATTATGTTAACATGCATTTGGCAGAGATGTTAATTTTTTTACTACTAGTAATTTTTGTCCAATTATCCACCCCCCCAATTCCCACCTCCTCATTTAAATACAAACTATTAAAAAAAAAAAAAATTGTATCATTATATGTAGGTACATTAAAACTGTGATTTAATCTCAACTACATCATGACATTGTGGCTCTTTTACACTTTTAAAAAAATAAAACAATAATTTTTCCAAGACAATATTCATTGCTTATAAGATTTAAGACATACTTAAAAGCCTCAAGTAGGTATTGTATTTATCACTATTAGTTTCAGCATCAATAAATAGTTCCTTTGTATTTAGATAAGTGCATCATTTTTAGGGCACATATGTCAATACATAATTTTAACCATTAATATATATATATATATACGGTATTAGTTTTACTTAAATAAATTTGATATTATGAAAATATACAGTGTGCCTAATCCATTAAAAGTTTACATAATAACATTTTATTTTTATACAATAGTAAAAAAAATCAAGTTATTACGTGTGTAGTGCAAGAGTCAAATTGATTACACATATGAGAGTGAGGGATAACTCAAGTGGTTAGAGCTCTCCTCCTGGTTCCATGTAATGCTGGGATCGATTCTCATCACTCGCCCTTGTGGCTCTCTAAACACCAAAAAAAAATGATTACATATATTCAAATTCAGATAGGGAAGGACTATTACTCAACCTTAGATACAGTTAACACACTAATATCTCATGTGATCTTCTAAATCAACTATTTTATGATTTTTACACCTTTTGTTAACGCACTATCTCTTTAATCTTGTAAATCAACCATTTTATGATTTTCACACCTTAATATCTCTTGTGATAGTAGCATTTTATGATTTTGACACATTTATATCTCTTTTGATCTTCCAAATCTACCTTTCTATGATTTCATTCTCATCTAAACAAAAAGAAATTTTTCCTCAAAAATAAATAAAAAATAATAAAATAAATAAATCAGAAAACAAGAAGAAAATAATACCCGGCCCAACTTACACACAAACCGGGCGCCGCTCACCAACTCAGATCACCTCTCCAATAAACCCTCTTTTTTTCTTTTTTTTCCCTCTTTTTCTTTTGTTTTTAGTCAGAAAAAAAAAATAATAAAAATTCAAACGTCTCTCAGAAAAATATAGCCGTTGGGACCCGTGTGAAACAAAAACCCTAATTGCTATATAAAGCCCCAAATTCAACCATCATAATTACAAATAATCAATCTGCTCTCTCTATCTCTCTCTATTTGCGCTGCGATCTTATAATTCTCTCTCTAATTAGCTGATTTCCTCTCTCTTTACAAGCTAACAATTTTTTGCAGGAAATTTGGTTTCATTTCTTCAATTCATTTCCATTATTGTGTTGTTATAGCTATTATCTTTTGTTTGTTGTTTGTGTTCTGGTTTGTTTTGCTGTAATTGTTTTGCAGAAATTCTTTCTAGATGAATCCCAGAAGTGCTTTCCAAGAAATCGCCCTTCCCAGGAAAAATTCCAAAGAAAATGTAATTTTTTTTTGAAACCTTAATTTTTTTTCTGTTTCGATTTTCAATTTTTTTGAAACCTTATTTTTTGAACCATTGTGTGAAGTTTACAAATTTTCAACAGAAATTGTCGATTATTCTTGTGTTTATAAAATTAATCAATTATTTGGGGGATTAAATTGGGGATTTTTTTGGATGTCATTAACATCTCAATTAGTTTCATTTTGATTAATTTTCTGTGTGAATTACAATTTACAGCACTCATTGTTCAAAAGGATCATGAAATTGCATTAATAATTGATGGGCTGTATTTCTGACTGTTTTTTCTTTTGATCTTTGGCAGTTGGACAGGTTCATTCCCAACAGATCAGCTATGGATTTCGATTACGCCCACTACATGCTGACCGAGAAGAAAGGTAAGGAGAACCCGGCTACGAGCTCGCCTTCGAAGGAGGCGTATCAGAAGCAGCTGAGGGAGGTGTTCAACATGAACAGGACAAGGATTCTTGCTTTCAAGAACAAGCCACCTGCTCCAGTTGAGTTCATGCCCCAGGAGTATGCTTCTGTCCAGCAATCGAAGCCCGTTAAGCCTCGCAGGCACATCCCTCAGGTAGTTTTCATATCTTATCTACATCGAATTCACAAAATCATTTGTGTTAATAAAGATATCTAGTCCAATAGTACACTGATTCAACTAGCTAACTCAAGACATTACTTGACTGTAATGTCGAAGTTAAAGAAGCTGTATCGTAGTTTGTCGTTGTCATCTGTTGAAGATATCCTTAGGCTGCTAGCATCAGAGTGATAATATTAATTTTTGAGAATTTGTTTCTATACTGTGTTCAATCTTCTGTTTGTTCTAATCTGATTGATCGATTGCAGACTTCAGAGCGTACATTGGATGCCCCCGATCTGTTGGACGACTACTACTTGAATTTGTTGGATTGGGGTAGCAGCAATGTTCTTGCAATAGCTCTTGGAACCACAGTGTACCTTTGGGATGCGTCTAGTGGGTCTACTTCAGAACTGGTTACAGTTGATGATGACAAGGGTCCTGTAACCAGTGTGAACTGGGCTCCTGATGGTCGTCACATTGCCGTTGGCTTGAACGATTCCGAAGTTCAGCTGTGGGATTCGACATCCAACCGGCAGGTAGTTAGACAATCAATTTTTTTTTTTACAGTTATTGCCTTTATTGTCTGGTTGAGTTTTGTTGGTTCCATTCTGACTGTCATTGTTTTGTTCCTGTAGTTGAGGACTTTGAAAGGAGGCCACCGAGCTCGTGTTGGGTCACTAGCATGGAACAATCACATCCTCACCACTGGATCGATGGACGGGAAAATTGTGAACAACGATGTGAGGATTAGAGACCATGTTGTGGAGACCTACAGAGGACACCAGCAAGAGGTTTGTGGCCTTAAATGGTCAGCTTCAGGCCAACAGCTTGCTAGTGGAGGCAATGACAACATCCTTCACATCTGGGACAGATCGATGGCGTCTTCGAATTCTGCTACTCAGTGGCTACACAGGCTCGAGGACCACACCGCTGCAGTGAAAGCCCTAGCTTGGTGCCCCTTCCAGGGTAATTTGCTGGCTTCTGGTGGCGGTGGGGGTGACCGATGCATCAAGTTCTGGAACACCCACACTGGTGCTTGCTTGAACTCAGTTGACACCGGATCCCAGGTCTGCTCTTTAATGTGGAGTAAGAATGAGCGCGAGCTGCTGAGCTCCCACGGTTTCACTCAGAACCAGTTGACCTTATGGAAATATCCTTCTATGGTGAAGATGGCTGAACTTACTGGCCATACATCCAGAGTTCTTTTCATGGCTCAGAGTCCTGATGGTTGCACAGTGGCTTCTGCTGCAGGAGACGAGACTTTGAGATTCTGGAATGTATTTGGTACTCCTGAAGTTGCTAAACCTGCACCAAAAGCTGCTCCTGAGCCATTCGCCCACGTAAACCGAATTCGTTGATCAACTTACTACCCACCCCTAAGGGAAGACAATCTGCAGTTTAGCTCTGTATATTTGTGATTTTTATCTGCTCTTGTGAAATGATTGCATTTTGTTGGTAAATACTGAATAGGAGCATTGGCTGTATGCCTGTATCTGATTCGAGATGATGTAAATAAAATACTTCGAATACTTTTTTATATATACCTGTAATTAAGTGTTGAGTGCTGTGCTCAACAGTTTTGTTGATAGTTCACATATAAATGAAGTTTTGTTTTCTGATGCATTTCTTTTCTCTTCAATGTTTCTTATATTCTTAAGCACATACATGATTATATAAGGCTTTCTTCACCGATAATATTTATTTAAGGCTTGCAGATGGTGACCAACACCGGAACATGAGAGATAATCTCCGGTGCCGAAGACGCCTTAATAAAGACTTGATGAGTATATTTTTACATACCAAGTTTGTCAACTATGCAAGAGCTAATTTTTCCTTTTTCTTTTCTTTTTTTTTTATTTATTTATTTTTATTTATTATTATTATGTGATTTCTAAATTTCTAATTAAAATATTTTAAACAGTGCAAAAGAAAAACATTGGACTCTTCTCATTGCCTATTTTTTTTTTATTTTTTTGGGACAAACATTGGACTCTTGTCATTGTCTATTGTGAAACTTGCTACTTGTATCATTTTTCCTGATGCCTCTAAAAGAAAAAGAAGTTGACTGGTAGTTTTTGGTCAAAAATTGGAATCTTAGCAAAAGAAACAATAATTAAAGAATGCTTGCAGGACCATCCAGTGAATGTAGAATTTGCCATTGTAACAAGTTATTCACTTTATAAAGTTACTTACATTATCTCATGCTCTTTAATTCAATTTCAGTTTAGTTTGCTAAAGACCTTGACCTTAATAAGCCATTTTTAAGGTTTAAAAAGTTTTGATAAAGGCTAGTACTCCGTATGTTTAAACTTGTAACAAAAATATTTGCTAGGGCCAATTAATAATAAATGAACAGAGCCCAAGCATCGAGAATTACCAAAGAAATTCACGATGATCAACGAGTGACAAACTGTAGCTAACTGCAACTTTTACAAATATATAAACAGCTGCGAGTGATAGGATGAGGGAGCTCGACGATCATTATATAGACCCCCAAATGTATTTACAATAGCTAGCTATATATTCTTTGAAGGGGGGTGGGGGGCACTAGAAATTTCCCAAAATAGAGGGAAAACAGAAAATCCCTAAAAACTGACCATTCTCGTGGAAAATTCAGGCTGTCAAAAGACAGCTAGCTGATTCAGAAGAAGAAAAAAAAAAAGGTGCTAGTTCCGCATCAACTACTCAGGTGAATTGTCGCCTTACATAAGTATCTTCATGCACGAACACGGGATTATGAGAAGTAGGGGGAACCTGAGGTTGGCCCATAGCAATGCCACTCTGATTTGGAGCAGCAGGGTTTCCAAATAGATTGTCCTTTCCAGATGAAATGGTTAGATAATACAAGATGCCAAGGGTAGCACTTGCAAGGCATAACACAGCCGCCACTGCAAAGACACCAGGCTTGACAACATAGCAATAGTAATAGCTAAAGTACGCATTTTCAGCACCTTGTTGATCATTGAGGGCTGCGCCACCGAGGAGTAGGAGAAATGCTACGACAAAGGTGAACCTGCAAAATACATAAGAAAGAACTCAAGTCACTGCTCATTCTTTGAACTTGCTTTATATATGAAGCACAACTATCGATATTAGCAAGTATTCCTTTTAAGTAATTAAGTATTTGACATCATGAAATAAATGACACTATCCTAGGGCATAAAAGTCACTGAAGTTGGAGTAGCAACCAGACAAATGTGTTGTTGATTAGGATATACCTTGCCAGTTCCTAAGACTGCTCAAAGATTCTCATTTAAACGTCCAAAACTTAATCCAAGATAGAGCTTTATATCACACCATCTCCTAATTCAATGTATTTGCAATTAAAATTTAGAAAGACTATTCAAGTGCGGTTGCAAATTTGCAATCAGATACATCCTTGTCCAAATTGAAACAAATACACATGTAAATTAGTAACTCGAGCTTTTCTACAAACAATAAAATTCAAACAGGCACTATGATGTAGGAGCTATGCAGGATTTTTGGGTTTAAGGAATTGTGACACTATTATCATATTATGTGCTTCTTTGTGCCATGAATAGGAAGAAAAAGCATTTTCATCTGGCCTCGTTTCCAATTTTAAGCATTTCATGATGCAAAGCCTGGACATGAATTAATGAAGCAAAGAAAGAGAAATACCAGGATATAATAAAGCAAATAAGGGCAAGAGTCCAATGAGTAGTTGAAGTATAGGGATTTCGTCGGCAACAAATACAACCACTTGCAACATTAACAATAACTTGAGCAGCTAGAAGGGCAACCGCTGCACTTGTCCCTAGCCCATAAGCTGGACTCCTTGGGTAAGCACAAATACCAGGTTGAATTTCATTAACTTGAGAAGCCTGCAAGATAAAAAATTGAAATAAATAAAAATTGGTAAACCCCTGAAAACCAAAACTTCTGTGAACTATCTACAATTGGATTAGTACATGATGACAACAATCACTATTTGCTTCAGGTAATCCACTCAGTTACTAATAGAGAGGTTTGGTTCCGAAAGACTTATATGATGGGCTAGTCCAAGTTCATCGATCAATTACAAGAGTCACACCTCATAAACTCTTTTTTACACAGCTAAGCAATGAGTATTCATCTCTAACCTTTCTACACCAAACTATAACATACTCCAGTTTCGGGTTCTTACAACCAAATCTTAGTGACACATTAAAACACTCGAATGCAAAGATACATAACCCCGAATGGATTACGGGATCAAATGATGTTCACCTTTTTAATCTTAACTAATTTTGGAACCATTCCATCAGTTGAAAAATCGCGGTGGGATAAGGTCACCGTTTCAATTAACAGCTGAAAAAGAGACAGGGCACCCATTTCAACTTACTGCCACTTTGCATTTAGGACATATAACAAGGTTCAATTTTAAAACCCTAGATCTCTCATAACATATCAAATACTACAAACTAAAGCAGGAAATTAGAGGGCAAAATTAACAAGGAAACAAAAAAAAATCCCACATCTCTTCAAATTTCACAAATTCTAGCACAAAGTAGATAATTAATCAACAAATTTCATGCCAAATTATATAATTTTAAACCAAAATTTCAGACAAATTAACAGGAAAAACTAGCACTTATAAACAATCTTTCCCACATACCCATTTCATAAAAACTTGTAATATCACTAAATAATGAGCTAAAAATGACATTAATCAAGAAAAATAAAACTGGGTATGTTTAATTTTATTGAAAGATTGAAACTGTAATCAACTTACTTTGATTCTTTTACCTTCAGCAGCAAAACCAAGAACAGCTGCAAGAAGCCCTAAAAAACCCACAACTATGCAGATTATTAGACTCTTCTTCTCAATCCTCATAATATTTTTCTTTGATTTCTTCTTCTTTACCTTTCTCTCTATTCTTCTTCTTCTGATCTTCTCTCTGTTTCACAGATATCCCGTGAAATGTTTTCTAAAAAGTAGTAAAAGAAAAGAAGCAAAGTTTATCTACCTTGCTTAAGCAACTGCAACTCAGCAACTAGTGCAAGTCTACTGTATTTTGGGATTTACTGCAAGCTTACTTTACTACTGGTATCTGAGAGGATATTTATGTACAGTAATTTTTTCTTTAATTTTTATTAGGCGACACACTTGCTTTTGCGGACAATTTTAGGATATACCGATATATATACTCCCCCTGTTTTTTAAGTGCGTTAGTTATCGCACAATTAATATGAATAATGTATGTAACTTCATAAGAAATTACTATGTACAATTGTTTATCAGATGTGTAGTTGGTGCATCCGAAAAGAACATTAGGTAAATTTAAAAGAACATGGGCGGAAAAAAATAACATTATAGACATTTATAAAGAACGCGAGCATAATATGTTCTTTGAGTTTAATTATTATGTTTTTTGAGTTTGAACTATATGTTCTTTACAACAAGAACATGTTCTTTAATGTATTATCATGTTCTTTTTGTAAAAACTTTATATTCTTTGTCTAAAGGTGATCAAAGTTAGCTTGGCCCGCTGGCCCGGCCCAGTTTTGGGTGGGATTTGAACAAACTTTTTCGGCCCGAAATTGAGTCGGGTCTGGCCTAGCCCGAAGTTTTTTTGGGGGCGGGTTTGGGAATGTGTTTTATGCATTTTGGCCCAACTTGAAAACCCGTACGACCCGACCATTTTGGGCGGGTTTGGGCACAAAAATTCCGGCCCGAGAAGTGGGCTAATTTTTTTGACATCGGCTCGACCCGCCCAATGATCACCTCTATTTTTGTCAAACACAAACATGTTATTTTGTCAGGGTTCTTTTTCAAACACATTCAACCACTTGAGTAACCATGGAAAATAACATGTTCTTTAATGTATTATCATGTTCTTTTTGTAAATACTTTTTGTTTTTTTGTAATGTCATATTCTTTGTCAAACGCAAACATGTTATTTTGTCAAACATATGTATGTTCTTTTTCAAACACTGGTATGTTCTTTTTCAAACACTAGTATGTTCATTTTTTTGCCCATGTTCTTTAAAATATACCTAATTTTTTTTTTCCCATGATGCACCCGAGTGCACTATACTATTTTCATTGGTTATCTCTCCCAATAATGTTATTTTTCAAAAATAAAATTTACCAACATGGTCGTAGCTACTAGCTATCAAGATTAATCTAAAAAAAATTAAATTGTACAGTAATTTTTATTTTATTTTTATTTTTTTAACCATTGACGATGAGAAATCATGAAGAACGAGAGGAACACCACACCGTAACAAGTTAATTAGAACCCATGATCCACATCACATAAAATAACTTCACTTTATTCAAACAACATGCTAGGACAAGTTTAAAAACACATGCTGAAGGATAAAATTATCCACCGAGTAACTTCAAATAGATTAGATGATAAATATTTATCATCAAAGTCTATTAATTTTGAGGATGTAGATTACTCATTAGGTAGACAAAGATCGATGATTTAAACACTAGAACAATTTCTCCCATTGCCAATGAAAAATATACTTCGCCGTCTTAAGATTATATAAGTATAGCCCATCATCAGCCGCTTTCCAATTACAATGACGCCCTCAACAATGATTATCTACAAAATTTTTGGTATCTTCAAATGCGGGCTAAGTTATATGATCCTGACTAGAGCTTGTGATGTTACCTAAATAGACAACCTTTTCAACAAGCTCGGTTTTTAATGAAAAGTTATAATTACCATTTTTTGTTATACGCATTAGCCTAATATGTCTGCCATGACCTCCACGGCATTCTAAATCAAGAATATCGTTACTTAATGCATTTTCTATATTCACATAAAATTTTGAAGGAAACAAAGGATAAGATGTCACAAATGGATGATTCGTGACTCTTAAAGTTAATAATATGACTATCAATAGTTTAAACATTTTGGTTGTGGATTTCTTTGAGAAATAATGTAAGAAAAGTTGAAAATATGTAGGATGATTTGACTTATTTTATAATGCTACGAATCCAAGGAGTTGAACATAGAAAACGACACATGGCATGCATGCAAATGAATGGTATGAATTCAAGTTCTAAATGGTTTGAAATCAACTTTGTTTCAATTTATTGCAATTAAATGGTATGGAATCAACTTTGTAAGAAAGCCATAGAAATTAAAAACATTATTAAGCTGCAATTTCAAATAAATGGTATGAAATCATGTTGTAAATGGTATAAAATCAAGGAAATTTTGACTATCGCTATCCTTAAAATGCACCACTTTGATTTTTGCTACTCATCTAAATTTTTATTTTATTTATTTTATTGTCAACAAAAACCAAAAAATGTAAATTTTACTACCACTTAACAAGTTCTGTTACTTTTTTTGTTTGTGGGGCCCACTTAATTACTTCCTTCCATTTTCTTCTTCTCTCTCCATGAAATTCACTCATAAACCCCTCCTCTTCTCGACAACCCCACCTATTGTCCAGCAACCCCAACCCCTTAAAAGCAACCCCATCCAAAACCCCCATCCCTCACGATCGCCTTCCATTTTCTTCTCCTCTTTCCAAGAAGAAATTATAGGAAATCCAGAGAAAATATCACTTTAGAAATATATTGTTAAATATGTATCATAAAAAAGTTTCATAATATCTACTTTAGATTATACTAATATATAATTGTACATATTTAAGGTAAACTAGTGCATTGACATGTGTGTTATTAGTTATGACTATGTCAATTATTCTAGGACAAAAGGAGTATATGTAATTGAATAATATACTCATGTGAGTTTGTTAGAATTGATAGAGTATAAAACATATTCCTGGGCCTTAATCATCAGCTTAAGCTTTTTGTTAAGTGTTGGTCCTTTAACAAGGTATCTGATATGTTCATTTTATATAGTGATTTACCCCCGTCCCTTGGTCATTTTTAGGAGTATTATGGGCTCTTCGGAGTCACTTTCATTACTAATATGCGTTTTTTAGTGTTTTCGTAGTTTTGGTACTATTTTATAGGAAATTGCAGATTTGGAGCATTTTCCCGGACTTATGATAAGCCACTACGAGCATTGGAGAATTATGACCATATTTCATAGCTCAGGACCGGTTGAAGTCGTCAAATCGGTGATTAAGGGCTCGGCGAAGAAGAAGAGTCCGGGGCAATGGACCATGTATTCAGAACCCAAAGAGGAAATGCGAATTGGGCTAAGAAACGGCCCAATTGAAGAAGTCCAAGTTTGCCCGGGAGTGCGCCCGGCAGGGCGAGATGGCGCCCGATCGGGCGCGTGTTTCTGAATTCGTTTAGCACTTTTAATCTTCGTTTTAGCTTAGATTTTCTTAGTTTTATATAAATACGCTTTTGTTAAGCGAGTTGGGGACTTTCTTTTCTCTCCCTCTCTCTCTTTCTACTTTTCTCATTAGTTTAATTTCTTAGTTTTTAGTTTTAAGCTTATAGTTAATACTCTTGATCCCTCTCGACATTTTTTAGTTTATGTAATTCTTTACTTCTGTCTATCTTGGTAACGATTTCTTCCCTCTTTAATTTCAGTAATTTAATTGCTTGATTTAATTATGCTTCCTTTAATCGCTTTGCTTAGTTTAGATTTTTAAATATGCACGAGTAGTTTTATTTCTAGGGTTTGTGGGGATCCATAAATAATTTGAAGGGGTAATTTATTATTGTTGACTGCCAATGCTTGATTGATTTCCTATTAATTGATTTAATGCTATGCAATTAGATTTGCGCAGGTTTAATCGTATGAGTTATGCAATATTGATTCGAGATTCGAGAGATGAGAATTAATGTTTAGGCTTAGTTTCAATAGGCAGGTTAATTTATAAATGGTTAAGTCAAGATTCGAGAGATGCGATTTAATACCGGTAGATTAATTCTGTGATTGTAATACGTAGCGAAAGCCCTTTATGATCTAATTAATCTATGCATTGATGATTGATTATTATGTTTTACCCTGGAATATTATTTATTGGTGAACCTATACCCTAGGCCTTTTATTATTGATTTCCTCCCTAATTCAATTCGCCTTAGTTTAATTATTTTCCTTTAGTTTAATTATCATAAAAACATATTGGTTACTTGATAATTTAGATTATATTAATTAATTAGGAATAGAAAGACTTGTTTCCCTGTGGATTCGACCCTACTTCCCTATCTATTTTAGTTAGTGGTTTTAGGAATTACTTTTGATTAGGTGATACGACATTAGCCTGTCAGTATCGGAGCCAACGTGACACAAAGGTTACGGGTTCGAATCTCATACCCCCCCCCCCCACTTTCAAGTGGAATATTAAGCGTTGGGTATGGAGGGACCCATGCAAGCATCCACACTTCAAGCCCAAAAAGCTCTCATGTGAGAGGGCGTGACAGAGTATAAAACATATTCTTGGGCCTCAACCATCAGTTTAAGCTTTTGGTTGAGTTGGTCCTTTTACTTTCAAAATATTATCTTTTTATAAATTTTTGGCTATTTTTTACTTTTACCGCAAAAAAAAAAAAAAAAAAAAAAACGAAATCGTTATTTATCACCAAAAGTCCTAAAACTTTTATTTTACCACCAAATAAAAAAAATTAAAAATTACTTTTTACCACATGCCATAAAAAAAACCGGTAAAACAAACGGAATTTTTTAAAATTCTTCAATTTTTGTGCCAAAAACATGCGCATTAAGAGTTTTGGGGGGCATTTTGGTTATTTGGGTCCAATTTGAGGTCAAAATTGACAAAAAATTATTGTAAATGGCTCGTTTTTCCTTCTAAAAAGTATCACAATTGCGTAAAACAAGACATTTTCGATCATTTTTTGTCAATTCTGACCTCAAATTGAAGTCAAAGGGCCAAAATACCCCCCCTAAACCACTAAAGAACATGTTTTGTGCACGGAAATCCAAGAAATTTTTTAAAACCGTTATATTTAACGATTTTTTTTTACGGTAGGTGGTAAAAACATTTTAAGAATTTTTTTTGTTGGTAAAATAAAAGTTTTAGAAGTTTTTGTGGTAAAAAACAATTTTGTGTTTTTTTGTTGATAAAAGTAAAAAATCCTAAATTTTTTCTATTAAGAGTTAAACATGTTATTTAACAATTAAAGTTGTATATTGACAAGCATGAAAATCAGCATAGTGCAACTAAAAGAAAAAAGGAAATCCTTTGTACAAATGCACCCCAAATAGCAAAATTTAGTACCCTTAGCACAATAATTATTGCTTTATATGTTTCAAAAGGCTTAACTTTGACTATATGGTATGTTACATATAAATTATACGAAGTATTAATTAAGTTATAAATTTGTACACAAACTTGCTCTCAAAATTGATGCTTCAAATCAAAATGCAAAAAATAACATATACACCACAATTATTAACAATAATAACATCATACATTAAGCTTCAATCTCACTTGGGACTGTAGTTAGATAAAGAGGTAATTTATTGAAGCTCATTTGTAGATCCCCTTCTAGCTTGATTCGCTCTTCTGATTTTGTGATCTTCATAAACTAAAGTAATGTAACTTATGATTCCAAGGGCAATACCGACAAATGACAATGCAGCTGCTGCACCAAATACTCCATGGTTTACCTTGAAGCAACTTCGGTAAAAACCACCAATACTTGATGAAGCATCAGTGAACGATATACTCCCTCCGTTCTAAAATAAGTTTCAATCATTAAGAACAAGGTACATAAAATAAGTATGCATTCCATAATGTTCCCTTTCCAATTATTACTAACATTATAGTTGCACTTAATGATGATTAAGGAAGACAGTTACAACTCATTTGTTTCAGCAGTGGTAAATAAAGAAGGTTTGATTTCAATGTCCAATTGTCTATGTAATTATATCTACGCCTAATTTTATATAAATCACATATTCACGAATAATCATAGATAAAATCACAAGTCATTAGGTTTTTATTTATCCACTATTTATTTATTTATATACTATTGCTTATCAAATGAATTGAAATGATGTATAAAAAAAATGTACGTGCAAACATGCTTATATATTTAGAAACAGAGGGATTAAAAAAACCTTAGAGATCCGTATTCCATAATGTGTGGCTCCAGCATAAAGGAATAAGATGATTGCTGGTGTACATGTCAACCTGCGGTACAATTTTCTCAATTCAGTAACAGAAATTATAATTGCTTTGCTTTCAATTTCATAGTCAACACATTACATTTAACACGTATTAGTCAAACTCATTAATTGAGGTACTTATTAATGGTAAAACATATGTTGAAAAATAATTAGAAAACAAGATGCAAAATAACATAATGGGTTTGTGTTTATAAGCTTGCCAGGTTTTTTTTTTGATATTTATACATAAGTTCGTTTCGCTTCCCAATTTAGAAAAATATAAGTCTGTAAGTTTTCTACTGCCTCCGTTTTTAATAAATAATACTCATTTATTGCAAATAATAAGAAACATGTGTAGTATAATGATATTATTAAAGGGTGATGCTATATACAGTCCTTAAGGTTGCATATAAGCATTTAGCATACTTTCTTTTTTAATATTAAGCTGGGAATTTCTCGATAATTCACGAGTAAATCAGTGTAATAAATGTTAATTTTATATCTATTCTTTCCACTCTTAGCTTCTTATATGCAACCCGCATATATCTTTTTCCATTTTTAAAACATACTCCTATTTATTGAAGCATGACTTCTACTGAAGGACTTCTATTTTGGGAGTTGCCCTTTCAAACAATTAATAGGTGATTAGTAGAATATAAATTATTAAAATCAATCAATGTCGCATAAAATTAAGGTTAATTGATTAGGTCTGTGAATAAGAGTATATCTTTGAAACATGACTCCATTTTGCAAAACTTCAAAACCCCGATCAAGTAACTAATTCGAAACGTTAAATACCAATCACAAAATCTCGATGATTAACAGATTAATCTGTCTTTTTTACTAGTAGTATTCATGGTTCTATTTTGTATCAACTTCCTATAAATATATGAAAGATTAGAAATGCATACCAACAGCAGACAAAAGCAAGAATTGCTAATGCTCTTGAACTAGAGGATGAATTAGTTGCTCTGCCACAACCACAATCAGCTGAAATGCTAATTAAAATTAGTGCCACTATTAGGCAAACTATTGCAGCAACGATCATATAAAACATCGGACTTCGAAAGTATAGGCATTCATGCACTACACATAAATCGTTTGTACATCTGAAGTAAAGTAGACGAATCTGGGCCAAAAAAAAAAATCAAAATAATACACGTATTAAGAAAAAAATTATTGTTAATTGCTCGTTATTGATAGACAAAATTCAATCTCCGAAGCTAGATTACTTAAATGATCTAATCTCGGGTATTTTTATTTCAAAATACCCCAATATAACTAGGAGAACCCCGAGTATGTACCTGATTTTTAAAAGGCAAGACCGCGAAAGTAAGACCCACGCCCGTTGATATCAACCCTAAAATTCCAACAATTATGCTAGCCACAATAGTTTTGCCATTCATCCTTGATCCCTCTCTCTTTAGTTTCAACGCAAGTTGCAATGGATCATAGGATATGTTTTAGGTACATTTTATAATTTATTGAGAAAGATAGTTATGGTTCACAAGTCATTAACATTATAGATTGAATACAGCTTATTAAACGTAATGTATTATTATTAATGCTTAAACACAGTTGTGGAATATTCTATTCATATACGAAGTTCTCCATAATAGTTTGACTTTGTAATACTTTAATTTAAAAAAAAAAATTAACACCATATAACACTGTAACATAGAAAAATAGCCATTTTCAATCATTTTTTGCATTATTGTCTAAACAACATTTGACTATTTGATTGAGAAATCTAAATATTAAGACAGAAAGGCTAAGTTGATTGTTTCCTAGCCTATCAACCAGGGGCCTATTAATCTTAATTCATACATACTCCCTTTATTCTCAAATACTTCGTATTACGAGATAGACATTCTTTATATTTTGACTCCGATGTATGTCTACCCCATAGTTTTATTTTGGAAAATTTTAGTTTGAGAGATCATTAAAAGTGATGTGGAAAACTTCAAATTTTAAGTTATGTTTGATTCTCAATTTCTCACCAAGAGAGGAGGAAAGGGGGCCACACTCCATAGGAAGATGCAATATGTGATCCATGGATCACCATTATAGAAACCATGGGTTTTCAAGTTTTCAACACTATCCAAGTGCCTGGCGGTAACCAACATGGGTCAATCCATCCATCGCCACCAACTCATTGATATGCTCCTAATAGACTAAGACGGACACAAGAAAAGCAGTCTTCAGGCTAAGAAATTTGAACATGAAAACCAGATTCCTGGCCTTCTTTACACTCTTTCAAACTTGGTTGTACGGGATAGGATTACAAAAAGGCTATGCAGAAACTACAGTCGATTTTATGAGCAATCTCTCACATCTGTGGGATCTTGCAGCCCACTTTCGATAAGCCTACAACAAGATCTTATCAAAGATGACTTGTTGCATAGTATGGAGACTGATTAAATTGGTAAAATAGATTAAGACTTTTGAACTATAGTTTAGGTCAAGAGGAAATTATGTAGTCCGTACATCAGAAATTAAAAGGCATACAACGAGCATTTCACCACAGTAACCATTGAAGCACCCAATAAGGTTCATTGTCTCATTTGTCTGTCATTGAAAGATAAGCTCTATGCTGAAATGAGGTAACTGAAGCTTGAAATAGTGAAATAATGGACCTTCATAGATCAATTTGCCAACGAGCTTAAGTTGGACTGAGAAAAAAAAAATACAATAAAATTGCAAACATAAAGCTTGTGAGAAAAACTCCAATAGTTGAGGTGAAACTGGTTTAACAATAAGGCAACCTACTCAAATGCTCGGTGTGCAGTGATGACATAATGGTTAGTGGGCATGGAAATCGGAAAGAGAAAACTCTAGTAAAGAAGATCCACCATGGAAAAATCAGAGAGGAAATTAAGCAAGGCCAGCAAATCAGCAATTATAACTTCTCAGAACCATTCAAAACAGCGAGGGCATGATTTTGTCTACTAATCCATACTTATAGACAGCAATCAAGGTCTTCAGGCCAAATGTATCCAAAGGGCTAAAGGAAGTAGTCTATACGAGTATTCTTGTTTCTTTACTATATGACGGTATATAATTGACTAGAATTGGTGAAAGTTGACGCAGTGGTTAAACTTATAACTAAGGGGGGCGGAAAAGATAATGTTAAAGACATTAATCTTCCCACATAAAGTGAAACTTGCCTAAAGGAAAGCTAGGTAACCTAATTCCCTAATTTTGTAGAACTAACACAATATTTCTTGTATTATTGTCAACCTAAAAATTTTCACTTAAACAACCAAGGGAATTTGGAACAAAAAACAATATAAAAAATTTGTCCTGTTTTCTGCAGATTAATGGAATTTCCCTTCTCATTTTCTTCAAGATTTCAGAAGTATCAAGCATTGAAAACTCAAACAAATAGATATCAGATCTGTAGCTAATAACAAAAGGCAAGAACAAAATTCATCTATTGGGAGTAGCATTGACAGGATGCAGCCATCCACTGTGCTATGCATATACATGACAAAATGCAGGCACCAGCCATCATAAAGTAAATCAAACTGATGGGCTAGACCTTTTCTAAGTGGCAAACAAGTAGTAGTTGCAATACTTGAAAGCAATAGAAGACACGCTTAATGCCTTTAACTACAGCATTTAACAAGTTGCCCATAATTTCAATCAGTAAACAGAAACAAAATTTAAATAGAGTATCAAACATGAAGAGACAATAATGAATTTCAAAAATCTCTAGTCCCAATAACTCAGCAAAATGAGGTCTTACCAAGGATATCTTGAAAGTCCACTCAATTATTGCCAGGAAACATAACCTACAAGAGTACAAGCCCAAGTTCTGAAGGCTTTATAGGTTGCCTTAAGCGATAGTTGTACAGATAGTAATGAAGCTTTCCATCTCCCGGCCCAAATTTCAGCTCCTTGAGAAATGATTCATTCTCCATAACATCCAGGGCATTAAAAACATCATAGTCCTTCGACTTTGCAATGATAAGAGCATCATTCATCAACTGAAGCAGCGGGGTTTTTGTAGCCACGTTGTAGTAAGAGTAGGCAGCCTTCAGAGTTGAGTAATTTGGGTTGCCAAGAATAGTAGAAGGGAGAGTGTAAAAGCTGCAGAAATCAGTGATCTCATGAGTCAAGGGACTTTCAACAACATAACCATCAACTACATTTTCTTTGGGAAGAAGCCAATGCTCAACATCATCTTCATCAAAGTCAGTAGCCACAACGAACTGGCTCAAATAACCCATCAAAAGCCGGGTAACAGCAGGAACATCACGAAGCTCCATCTTCCTGAAACCAGGTGTAACTGTTGAATCGGGTAGCTTATAAAGCCTTATGGTGCGGCTCATTGTCATTCTCGGGCCAAGCCTAGAAAATCCAACATCAATCAGCTTCTTTGGGTTAAGAGACCTATGCCAATATTGACAGGTCGCTATGGGTGTTGGAATAACAACACCAGCAGTATAAGCAGCTTGCCATATATTTTCCAGATGAACCCTTCTAGTCACCTCCTTGATCATAACAGGTGCAAGCCTTTTCGACCTCAGCCTCTTATGCACACACAGGAAGTTAACCTCAGCCATTGGAACAACTTCATCACGAACCCGTATCCTAGCTGGAACACCCGTAATGAAAGCAACCAGCTTTTTTGACTTCATTGCTCGCACACCAATATGCCAGCTCTTGAAGTGACCAGGTGGTCGAAGGGCCCACTGAAGGAACTCCTTAGAATAGTTGAACCTAAACATGTTTTCATCATCCTCTACATAGTTGTTAGTCAAAAGGTTGTAGACCTGGCTGCACATATCATCAGTTTCCAAGTCACATGTAATCCACTCATAATCCGCAGGCAACTTATAGGGCTCCTGCTTGACTTCAGACACTGCAGTAGGCTGCTCAATGGGTCCTTCGGGCAAGCTCGAATCTCCAATGTCCTTGAATTGCCCAACAGGCTGTGTTTCCCAAAACTTGTGCCGGTTTTCGATAGCAAGGGACTCTTGAACCCTCCTAGTTATCGCCTCAATGCTATTTTCACCCATCTTGCTTTCGGGGTTTTCATCAGGTTCTGGGTCTCTTTTCTCACTCGTTGGTGAATTATTATCTCCCATAATGACCAAATTCCTATATAAAATTATAATACCCAAATCTATGAATCAAGAAAGAAAAAAAAAAGGCCCAATTTTTTATCACTAACATAAAAATCACTGAAAATATCAAAGCAATCAAATTCGCATTCAATCAATTACAACAAAACAAATAAATCGACATAAACCTAATCAACAAAATCATCATCGACCCAGAAATGTTCATGATTCACTCTAGATTAATCAAGAGCAGATGAATTCAATCGATTTATTGATGGATTCAATCCAATTCCAAAAAACCCTAAAATAGTTTCAGATCGAAATCAACATGGATAAATTACAGATTGAAATGAAATCCTAAAATGCGTAAGATAATCATAAAATTGAGGAAACTAGTAAAATGGATTGAAGAGAGAGAATTACAAACCTCAGTCAATGGCTGGAGCAAGTGATTGCAGTGGCGAGAGAGAGTGAGAAATAGAGTGAGATGGGGTCTCGTTGGTGCCTTATGAAGACGAGAATATTGAACTATCCAAGTTTCTACCTTTTCTTTTCTTGAGTACTTTTTTTCCTTCCTCTCTCTCTTTCTTTTTTTTTTTTTATTTTTTTTATTTTTTTATTTTTTTATTTTTTTTTTTTGCAAATGAGAAATGGAGATTTTTTTATTTTTTTTTCAAGAGAAATTAAGAATTTGAGATCAATTCTTTTTTTTTTTTCCATATCAATGGCGTGTTATGTGGCCGGCTAACACACAATAAAACACTGACCAGATAACCCCTGATCGATCGAATAACCATTGACCGATTAAGTAACCCTTGACCGAGTAACCCCTAACCGGATGAGTAACCCGACCATACCGTGTTGCCACCAACATATAAAACTCTGTGTTTTATCAAAAGAATTAAAATCATTTTCTGACAAAATTTAAATTAAAAAATATAAGAAATTAATAATCCTTTTGCAGTTTACGGGTGCACGAGTCTAGGTGTCAAGTCGAGGTTCGAGCACTAGACCGAGTAACCCCTAACCGACTGAGTAACTCGACCATACGGTGTTGCCACCCACATATGAAACTTTGTGTTCTATCAAAAGAATTAAAATCATTTTCTGACAAAATTTAAATTAAAAAATAGAAGAAATGATAAATCCTTTTGCAGTTTACGGGTGCACGAGTCGAGGTGTCTAGTCGAGGTTCGAGCACTTGACCGAGTAACCCCTAACCGACTGAGTAACCCGACCATACGGTGTTGCCACCCACATATGAAACTTTGTGTTCTATCAAAAGAATTAAAATCATTTCCTGACAAAATTTAAATTAAAAAATAGAAGAAATTAATAATCCTTTTGCAGTTTACGGGTGCACGAGTCGAGGTTCGAGCATTTGACCGAGTAACCTCTAACCGACTGAGTAACCCGACCATACGGTGTTGCCACCTACATATGAAACTTTGTGTTCTATCAAAAGAATTAAAATCATTTCCTGACAAAATTTATATTAAAAAATAGAAGAATTAATAATCCTTTTGCAGTTTACGGGTGCACGAGTCGAGGTTCGAGCATGGCTTGAGCTCGAACAATTTTGATAAATTGTATTCGATCTTTGTTCATCAAGACATTATCGAGTTTAAACTCAGCTCGAACTCAAGCTTAAGTAAAGCCTTTTAATTTTTTAAGTAAGCTCAAATAAATTTAGATTGAGCTTTATTAAAAATTGACCTTTGCAAAAAAAATTTACTCTAATTGTTTTAAATGTAAAATAGAGCAACAACTAGCATAAAAACAATTCTAATTATCTAGTTTTAGGGTTTGTTTGGTTGACAAAATATAATGGAGGAAGTGGAAATTCATGAAAATTTGTAATTTGGGTAGTTGTTTGGTTGACACAAAAAAGCAAATATGGGGGAAGTTGAAATTCATGGGAATTTCTACTTCCCACAAAACATAGAAAAGAAATTACTTGGGGTTCCCAGGTCAATCAAAATTCATGGGAATTTCAACTCCCCATTGTCACAACCAAACAACTTAAATAAATTCCTTGGAATTTCATTTAGGAAATAATTTCCCATGAAATACAACTTCGGAAATTTATTTCCTGTGTCTACCAAACGAGGCCTTAATATGAACAAATGAATGTGATCTAATAGTTTGAAATGAAGTAATTGACTACCAAAAAAAGGGAAAAAAAAGGGAAATTCTCAGTGGTAACATTGTATTTTTGATTTTTGTCTTTGGTGATCGAATTGCAAAAAAACTTATTATCATTAGAAATCATGTATTTTTTATATTTAGCTAATTATAAGATTAATGAAAATTTTTAATGAAATATTTAACTATAGTTAGTTTTTTTTTTTTTTTTTTTTTTTTAATTTTTTTATATGATTTTAAAAATATTTTTTTTTAAAAAAAAAGTCACCCCCTTCCCCCACCAGCCACCCACCACTCTCCCGCCCCACCTCCGCCGACGCCCACTCTGGCCCCCTCACTCGCCAGTGCCCGGCCTCCCCCACCCCTGTCGTGCCTCTCCCCCCCCAACCAACAACAGCCACGCAATCAATCACCATCGCCCTGCTCGTAACTATATAACAGTACCACTCTGTCCCTCCCTCGCCCCATAACCACCAGCCAACCACCTCTCCCCTGCCCCTCCCTCGCCGGTGCGCCTCTCCTTTCCCCCGAACCACCATCCCTTCCCCGAAACCCGGCTCCCTTGACCCCGAATCCCACTCCCCAAACAATCCCTCGAAATCTCCCCAATTTCAACCTCTTAAACCCTAATTTCTCATGATTTGGCTTTAATCCTGCGATTCCTCCTTCAAATTGTGATAATTTCCTTGGTGTTGTAATTGAAGCATAGGATTATTTAGGGTTTTGAGATAAGGGTTGAAAATAATGGGTTTCTTCAATTTTCGAAGCTTTGAATTGTCCATTTTCTCAGGTGGGCTTCTTCAATTTTTAAACTCGGTTTTAGGATTTGAAGGTCGCGTTTTAGGGTGGAGGAAGGAGAAGAGGGTCGATTTGGGTGTGAGGATAGAGGTGAGGGCTGTGCGCGACGGGGAAAGGGAGGGGGTAGGGTCACCGACGAGAAAGAAGAGTGAGCTCCTCCGGGTTACCGGGAAAGGGGCCTGCCGGTAAAGAGGGGGTGGCTGGTTGGGTTTTTTTTTTATTTATATATAAAATAATAATTATATAAGTGTTAAAAACTAACCATGGTTAAGGATTTTAGTTACAATAATTATTATCATTAGTAATCAATAATTCAAGTTTACCAAAGATAATAAATTTTTTTACAAGTTACCAAAGAGAAAATTAAAAACTACAGTATTACCAAAGAGAATTTCCCAAAAAAAAAATTGAACACACTTAATTTTTATACTATAAGTCTATTAACTACATCCGCTTAACTAATACTCCGTAGTATACTGTATACCTTGAATATTTTTTTGTATTTTTTTTTTTATAATATTTACTCCTTGATAATTAAAGATTTTGATAATCAACGTTGTATGCGGTCAAATGTGCCAAAAAGTTATCGAGTACCAATAGATATTAGTCATGTTACTCCAAAGTCAATAGACATGATTTGATTTTAAGTACTGGGTAGTATAGGAAATGTGAGGTTTACTAGTCTACACCAAAGAAATGAGTTAAATTGGAATAAATTTAAGGTAATAACCTAGATACAACCGATCTCGACTCAGTCCAATTCAAAATCCTTTAAAAATTGGTTTTGAGTTAAATTAAATTTTAGTTTAAAATAAAAAAATATAATTTATCCAACAAAAAAATTGTCTAAAATTGACCATTTATAATCTTACTTGGTATTGGACCAGCTTTATTGATTCGACCGGCTTCAAATTCTATCAATTTTAGTTCCAAGTCTTAAAAAGTTTTAGTTTGAGATGCAGCGTATCACCGTATCTACACCAATAAACAACTTTAATTGTAATGTTATCACTTCTCACCCTATATGGGGGTTAATTTTTATGTATCGAAAATCAAGTTTTGATCATGACCTTAATCAATTTGAACAAAATCAGATCGGATTTGAATCAGACGAGAACAAACCAATAGCCAAAATCATACTCCGTAAGTCCGTAGTCCGTATTTAGTTTTTGGTCTCCCCTATTTTTTCATTTTTTAATTTTCGTAATTAGGAGGCTGTTTCGCTTAATTGCATATTGCTTTATTAGAGGGGTTTAGGGTTTTTCATTATTCGTGAAAACTTAAAATATATTGGGTCTTGCTCATACTCCAAACTAACCTGCAATTTTCGCTCAATCCGACGACTGTTGATTTTCTTTGGTAAGTAAAGTAATCAGCAAATGTGAAATCCAAGCTTTGAATTTCTTGAATTTCCCAAACAAATACTATGTATAATTTTAGAAATCGAGTTATAGGTCTTTTAACTTTCATATTTTGAATTTTATGATTGTCGATATCAATTTCAAGTTTCCAAACGATAATCTAATTGAATTTCAGCTAGTTTCATTGAAAACTGGAAAATTAGAAGAATTAATGTTGCATTTTCAATTTATTTGCACGCTAATTGCTAATTTCCGTTGAATTTTATCGTCAAGAAGGTTAATTTGTTGTTGATTCGAGCTTTTTTTTTTTTTTTCCAGATTGAGTTGATTATTTGAGACGAGCTAATGGAGGTTGATTCAAAGATGCATGATTCAGCTTCTGAAGATGCCTCGGCAACGGCGTCTTCTTCAACTGAAAAGGTATAAATTTAGCTGTGTTGTATGTGAAAAACTATAGCTTATGATTTTTGCAAATTTGTAAAGAAGATGTTGATTGAAATGTAAATGGTAGGGCAAGGAAAATGATGAAATGATGCAGTCACTAGAGAAACTGCAGATTGATGAATCGTCATTGTCGTCCGAATTCAAGAGAAAGCCTGTTGTTATTATTGTTGTTGGAATGGCAGGTCAGTAATCAGCTCACTTACATACCGAGGAAGAATTATTTATTTAACACAATTCATTTATGTTGCTTTTGCATGAACCGGTTTTAATTATAAGATATATAACCATATTTTGGGGTGGATGTGAGTTTTGATTGATTATTGTGTAATGCTTGCAATATGGTTGAGTTCAGTTTTAATTCGAATGTGATTAGGAAGCGGAAAGACGACATTTATGCGTCAACTGGTTCAACATACACATACTTCAAACCGTCGTGGTTATGTGATTAATCTCGATCCGGCTGTTATGACCCTTCCTTTTGGGGCAAATATCGATATAAGAGACACTGTCAAGTACAAGGAAGTTATGAAGCAGTTCAACTTAGGTCCTAATGGAGGAATTTTAACTTCATTGAATCTGTTTGCCACCAAGTTTGATGAGGTACAGCTTAAAAACACTCTTGTTAGTCTTGTAAAATTTTTATTAGATTTTGCTGTGATGTATTTTATTGTTAAGGATGACCAACTTGAAGAATAAGAATCATGATATGCATCTTTTAGTGATATTGTGATATAAACTCTTGCTGTTAACATCATTCTAATAAGTGACTATGTGATATGTTGCTAGTTGAATTTTTATTTTTAATTTATCATAGAATCTTATTTTCTTCTGAAGAGATTATGTG